AGATGCCTTTCATTGTTTATTCACAGACAATTGATCGTATTTCTAGGGAAACCACACAAGCACTTCAAGTCTCTCTTGGCTTTGAAGGAAGTGATTCTTGCCTGGAATCTTCCGTCTTCTGTCTTCTTCATAGACAACACTCACATCTCAAACACCTTTGATTTATTTCTTTATCTTTCACACTCTTATGCACGAAAATTAATTTTTTCCAACATTCTGATTGTTGTTTGGTATATGGTTTTAAGTTACAGATGTAACCAAACAAGGGCGAAAGGAATTTCAAACGGTACAAAAATGATTTGGGCGCATGCAATTGATTCATATCACACCCACGTGTGCTGACGTATTCCTGGGATACACCATAACTTCGAATCACGCTTTTTCAGGTGATCGTGTTCTTTGGCATTTATCTCCCACGTAATTCTCTCTCTCTGAAAAGTTTCCACTGTTCATCTTCTTCCTCAATTCAACAATGGCGACTTCTTCTTCTGCACAAGATCAAACGGCATCTTCATCTTTGCTCTCCATCAAGCCCAATCAAAACATGATTATAGAGATGACCCCGTTCTTATATGATTCGTACATGCTACACGTGGTGGAATGCCTAAAATATTCCCCATTGCTGTTGGCACTCACGCAGGTGGAAGCCGTTCCAATGTCCCTGCTTTCTCAAGTCTACACAACAGCAAACTACGACAAACATAAAGATCGCATATACTTCACCATCCATGACAAGAAAACCTCCGTATCAAAAAACAAGTTTTGCTCTCTTCTAGGGCTTGCGGTTGATTCTTCCGTCATCTCACCGGATTTTGTTACTACGACCCAACTGTTCTCGATGATGTACGAGATGGATTATACCGATGTTCTTACATCGATCGCCAAGGTCAAGAAATCCTGTCTTCCTTCTCAGTGGAATGGCTTGCTTACCCTTCTAATCAAGGGTTTAGCGGAACGTTGTGGTGGTTCTGATACCACGAGTAAAGGATTTCTCACCATTCTTTATGGTCTTTACAACGGCATCAATCTAGATTATGGCTCCATAATCTGGTCTCAAGTCGTTCAGAGTCTCAACACCTCTACACGGTACTCTGAGATATCATGCGGCCGTTTCTGGACGCTTATCACAAAGAAGGCTATGGATTCCCTTGAAATCCCGGTGATGAAGGATGCTCTTATGGCTTCAATTGCCTCTTACCACACTAAGAAGATCATCGTTTCTGATCCAAGTAAGTTTCTCCATTATGGATTAATCCCTGAATCCATGTACAGGTGTGTCACGCCTCACAGCCAAATCATGGCTGACTATAGCACCAGAACACCCTTGCCTCCAAGGGTTCTATCCGATGAACAGAGAGCTGCACTAGAAGCCCTTGATCAACCTGCCAACCGTGGCAAGAGGGCCGACCAAAAGGAGAAACCAAAGAAGAAAGAAACTGAACCGAAAAAGGAGAGAAAGCAAAGATCCTCCAAACGCAAATCCGATGTAGAGGAACCTTCTCTGTCCAAATCAAAGAAGGTCAACAAGATGGCTAAAAGAGCCAAAGGGTCTCCTTCTCCTGGCTCTGCTCCTAATGACCCATCCGACACAGAGGCTGCTGCTCCTCCAACCGATACAACAATTGCTCAGTCTCCTCAACAACCATCTTCTCCTACAGGCATTCATCTTCCCTCTCCACCAGCCTCTCCCAAAATTACCAAATCACCCACTCTCCCAACTTCTCCTAAAATTCCTACCCCACCCCAATCACCAACACAGAAGGTCCCACTTTCTGTTCCTATAACCATCCCTCCTACTAAAACAGAACCAACCATTCCCTTCTCTGTTACTCAACCTACATCCTCTATCCCCACACCAATTATCACCGAATCAATTACTATCACCTCTTCCCAACCACCAGTAACAGTCAATGTATCTGATACAGGGGCTACTACTATGGTTGATACCCCCGTTATCAACATCCCACCATCTCCTTCTCCATCCTCCAACTCCGGTGCTACCTTGGGCGGTGATGATGAAGAGTACGATTCTCTTTATTATAGCCCATACCGGATTCCCACAGACACTGATGCCGATACCCCTGTTACTAGTCAGCAAATTCAAGAAATTCACGACAAACTCGATAGTCTGTTGGCTGGTAATAAAGCCTACGGGGGTGTCGTGCTGAAAGCCTTCATTGAGTCTGCGATCAAGACATACACTGACGCTCTGGATCGTTCCACTGATGCCATCGACAACTCAGCTGCTTCATGCTCCAAAGCCACAAAGGAAGTTTCTGAGGTTGTTCACACAACTCAGATCTTTCTTGATTCTCTAAAAGCACATGCTGATTCCAGTGCGGCTAAATTTCAGACGTCAGTCGACTCCTTCTCGGCTACCCTTCAGGGTGAAACCTCCAAGTTTGAGGCTCTGCGTGCTGACCTCAAAACTGAATCCACCACCTTTCTCAAATCTTTGGATTCACGTTTTGCTTCTCTAGCAACAGACAGCACCTTAAAGGAAGATCTTGTCAAGCATCAGGCAACTATCGACCTACAGAAGATACAACTGGCCCAGGCACAACAAGAAATTTCTTTGCTGAAAACTCAGCGGTCAGTTCTTCAAGGTTGCGCTGGTGATGTCAAGAATATGTTGACAAATGTTCATGACACTCATGATCCCTTCCTTACCCTTACTATCAGACAACATCTCCAGGCTAAACTCCTTCCTGCAATTAACATCTTGAGCGAAATGAAGGGTGTTTCGGAGAGGCTTGTTCTTCCGCGACAAGGGGGAGAGGAAGGTTTATCAAAGACAGAACCGAAGGTTAATGTAGCTTCGGGTTCTGGGAAACAGTTCCTTGTTGAGAGCGAGTCAGATACAGATGAAACTATCATTGAAGCTCTTCAACGAAAGAAACGGGACAAAGAGCTAGATGAAACTCTTAAAATAGCTCGAGAGGCCGAGGCTAGGGAAAGAAAGACCAAGGAGGATGAGGAAGCTATACAAGCCAAGAAGACTCTGTTCCCAGAATGGGATAGAGACACACTCATCAATCAAGCGATTGAGTTTCCCTCCATATATTGGTTGGAACCGATTGCATCTTTCGAGTGTGAAAATACCAAAGAATCGCAGTTTGACATGCCAATCACGCGAAAAGCTTTTACATTTCATTGCTTTGATGTCACTGCCGATGTCCCTCATCCAAACTTGAAGGTTGACAGAGAATTAATAGATTTCTATTTGAAGTATTGTCAACCGCAGTACTTGACATGGAGTGCACAGAAGATAATCAAAGTCAAGGTACTGAAACCAACACAGGCTGGGAAATTTGTGAATGTTAACTTCAAAATCAACAGAGGATCGGCCAACACAGAACATTTTATTTCTCTGGCAGATCTTCCCAGTCTGAATCCGCATGATTGGATTCTGCTATACAACATTCTTCTCTCTAATCAAAGAGAGTATGAATCGATTCTGAAACATCTCAAAAGAATGTTGGCTTCCTATATCCATGAGCTCGCCACTATGGATCAGGAAATAGCAAAAATCATGAACAAGAAACCGACCGTCAAGCCTACTTCCAAGACAGGAGACGTACACAAAATGAAGTTAGGCCAAATTGATTCTTCAAATCTGATGGTCATGTTCACAAGAGGCGACAAGCACAAGTTTCTGTTTGCACTGGTAGACAAGCTTCTGTTTTCAACAGATTGTCTGGAGCATATCATAAATATCATTCACCGATGCAAGCAGAACTCCACAGCAGATAAGAAGAACTTCACTGATATGCTTCGATGGTATATTACCTTCAGGCATCACATTCTGGCTATTATACCGAGGATTTTTGAGACGGTAAAGAAGCCTTCTGCTGTTAAAAGAGAATGAAGATTATGTGCCAAAGACGCAAAGGGGGAGATTGTTGAAGATAATTGTGTTGCGTCTTGGGCCCTATTGTTTTACAACCGGATTGGGCTTGTCAATCCGTGTTCAACTAGATTAGCCTTCTTTTTCTTAGGAAAACTATTAGGGTTTCATTATAAATATATGCATGCATGTATGCGTATAGTAACGGTTGTCACTCTCATTGATTATTTGTAAAACCTAAAATCGTCTACAGTTGATGTTCTTTATCAAGCTCTTCTGAGGATTGTTTATCAATTCATTCAACACCTTTTGATCCATTCACTTGTTCTTAATTGATTATCTAAGCTGTTTCTTTACCTGTTTCATAGATCTAATCGATCTTCTAGTTTGTATTAATTTCAACACTTTAACTATATGAAAACTTTTGAGTCACAGTACCTTTAACCAAATGATGAGTTTTTGTAAGAAAAACGCATTAATATAACTACATATATAATAAGAGAATACAAAATATTATAGGAAATTTATAAATATTATAAATCTTATTAACTAGGGAATATAAATACTTATGTAGGTTTTGAATCAATATGGTTTGAGAAAACAAAATATCTCTAAACATATGATTTTGAATGGTCTCATTTATACTACTGGAAAAAATATATAAGACGATCAAACTATGAAAACAAAATGATAGGTTCATCCACAACCTTGACTTGTAGAGCTCTTTTAGGGACTCCATCAATGCAAATACGTTCTAAACAAATTATTCCTATTGAAATATTTTCTTTTCATTTTCTTATGACATCGTTTTTACATGTAAGAGTTTATATAGCATATTTTATGTTTAATGCTAAATTAATTACATAGAATACATTTGAAAATATGAAAATGACAAAGGTGTTTCAAATCAATATGGTGCTAAGAAATATAGTAATTTGAAAATATGAAAATACAATGGAGTTTCAAATCAATGTGGTGCTTAGAAAAAATCTTATATTATAAGATATATAGATGTAGATACGGATTATAATTGTCTAAAAAGTAAAATATTATTGTTTATAATTTTGAGATTCAAAACTATTTAGTGAGTCCTATTGATCGATTAAAATTGTTGGCAGATTGTAGAAACTTAATTGGACGTTCTTTGATCCTAATGGGAGAAATAGGAGAAACCGATTACAACACTGCAGTATTTGAATATAAGCCAATCGAGGAGGTCAAATCATACGTTCCTCTTGTTATTGATACCATCATCTCAGCAGTCAATGTAACTACTCAAATCATTCAAAATATATTTTAAATTATCAGCACCAACATGATCACCACTTACAATTTTAATTTCCTTTTAATTCTAGTATATCATTTTGTCATGGATTTTAAATACAGGAGCTAATTGATATGGGGGCTCAAACACTAGTTGTTCCAGGATCCTTTCCACTTGGGTGTTCTAGTTCATTTCTAACAGTTCGTGCTTCGAAAAACAAAAAAGATTATGATAACAGAACTGGTTGTCTCATCAGGTACAATGAACTTGTCGAATACCACAATGATCTGCTAAAAAAGAAACTAAACCACCTTCGAGAGGTTCATCCGAATGTCATCATCATTATGATGACTACTACAATGCTGCCATGCAAATTATCTATTCTCCTCTTAAATTCGGTACAAAGCATGTTATAATATTTATAGTGCTACACGATTTACCATGTTATTGAGTAATTTAGTACCTTGATTTACGTTCTTGTTGGGATTGAATTCAAAATTTTCAGGATTCACAAATCCGGTTTTGAAGTCGTGTTGTGGAGGTGGAGGCCCATACAACTACAAAATCAATTCGTTGGCGCAATGTGGACATGTACTTGCGACTGTGTGTAATGACCCAGATGCGTATGCTTATTGGGATGGAATACACTTTACAGAAGCTGCATATAGAATAAGATTCAAGAGTTTATTTAAAGGCCAATATACTACACCCCGCTTTAATTCCTTGTGTCGTACACCTACACCTACATCAACATCACAAGTTGGAGTTGCTTTATCGGGATCACAAATACAACGTTGACCTATCATAGCATGCAAAGACATGTACTTTCCGCCTAAAATGCCTTACAAATATTTCATAAATTGTTACTGTTTATGTAAACTACATACATAATTAAAATAAATAATTGGCATCCACAATCCATATAGTTTAATGAAAAAACTTAAATAAAGTAGAATTTCTAGGAAGTAATGTAACCATTTAATGGATTAAAATCAACCCTAATGGATTAAAATAAATGTTGTTTAATGGATACCGGTTATGACCCAAAGTGGGAGTGCCGATACATTTTTTTTTAATGTAGGGGATATTTGGTACTTGTATTCAAATGCATGTGATGTAATTGAAATTGTATGATTAACTAAATAATGAATCTATTTAATTTAATAATGTCAAAGAAAAAGAATATATATATTCCAAAAGTACAAAAGTAAAGGCCGTTTTGTTCAGAAGATGTTTATGATAGGATTTGGAATCCAAAGGAATTGCAATACGCCATTGGTTTGGTTGGATGGAAATGAAATGAAACTCCATTACATTTCCTTGCTATTTTATGATAGATTTGTAAATTCTAACAATAAGGGTTGAAAACCCTAGAAATCCCAACTCAAGTTCATTAGGGGCTAAGATCCTCTTATTGGGCGTAAAGGTCGAATAAATCATTAATTCATTAGTCTATAACATTTTGGGCCTAGAATGATTCATTCTACCTCCAATGGACCATGATGGGTCATAAATGATTTAATAAACCTTAATGGGCCATAAACCCATTCATTTTACCACTTTGGGCTGTGAAACTATAATTAAGGCCAAATGGGCCGAAAATCTCATCGTTTATACCCTTTTCGCCATAAACTCTCAAATGGACCCACAATGTCACACCCCGAAAACTGAAGGCGGAAACAATTTCGGGGTTAACTCCACGTTGAGTATCAAATCCAATGCACATAGTAATCAAAGTAGACAACCATTACATTACATATATGAAAGTTTACATTTGTTTCAAAAGTAAGTTGTACAATTGTGATACATAGTATATATGAACAAAAGAAAGACGTGTCTTCTACGCACTCCATCTTCACCAAAAGAGATCACCGGGTACCTCTGTAATGCGGTCCTGAGAATACAAGCAGTTTGAAAATCAGCATAAAGCTGGTGAATTCATAAGATGTTTGTTTTCTGAAAAATGTACAAGTTTCCTTTAGTTTTCCGAAAAGGTTTGTTACCCAAGAAAATCCCATATTTTCTTATGTAAAACAGTTTAGTTATCATTCGTTACCAGTTCAATTATGCGTTATATGTTACCCCAGGAAAATCCCATATTTTCCTAAATGCAAGACCGATTGAATATCACAGAGTATAGTTTAACACACAAAACTATATATTGAGAATCATGGGATTACTATCCCGAATTATATATGAAATACTTTAATATACGTGAACTGTAGATGAAAAGTAGTTTGAAAACCTTGGGACTAACATCCCGTACTAAATATAAGATAGTTTGATATACATGAAAAATATGTATTGAAAACCATGGGACTACCATCCCGGACTAGACATAGATTCATAACCATGGGATTACCATGTGGTACAAGATATAGTTTCAAAACCATGGGACTACCATCTCATACAAGATATAGGTTGAAATCATGGGACTATTATCCCGTACTAGATATAAGATCAATAGACTGAAAACCATGGGACTATCATCCCGTACTAGATATGGAAACTATATATAGAAAGTAGATATGGAATCGAAACAAAGTCAAAACCAAACCCAAAGCGATACCATGAATAAACTTATATTAATACGTATTGTGAGTTGGGTAACCATGCTGATACAACAAAGAGACCCCCTTGACGTTTGTCAGACGTCGAAACTCTACCCAAGAATTTGTCACCTCAGGCGTGCCCGCCTAACTGTAGCTAGCAGTTAAGGTGTGGGATTGTCAGTCCCGAATAGATCTATTCACAAATTCCATGCTCCCCCTCCTGGAGACTCTGGTTACACTTCCGGGGAGGATTTACTGATAACCCAAAAAAGGTAATGAAAAAACTCACAAGCTAGTACTAAATTATTCACAGGGTTCTCATACGATATCAAACATACAAAATATTATGAAACATAATACAGTGAATATAGACACATACAATGAAACTATCTGACAATACATTCAAATGAAACGGAGATAAACTGAATCGGACATAGTTTATCTAATAACTTTGTATACATATCAGTACATGATGAAACAAGAACTAAAGAACCCCAAATTATTCCCATAATAATTTGATTAGTTTGGTTATTTCCTTAACTGAAATTCATATAGTTGTGGTTGATAAATCATCCCTTATGCTCAACATAATACATAAGAGGTAAATATATCTATAATTTTCCAGATATTTATTGAAATTCATCAATGTTATGTTTTGAAAACATTTGTAATTTGCTTGTATCCCCCCCCCCCCCTAAAAACATTGAAAAACCATTTAAAAAGGGTAGGGGTATGAACTCACCAATCGTGCAATAAGTCGGTTTGGATGCTAAACGTCATTTCTAGGTTTGCAAACGCACAAGGTTCCTATGAATTTTGAAAAGATACACATTTGTATCTAATTAGGACTTATATTATTTATTTGCAAGGGACAAACACTTCTAGTTGCGGAAACACCTCATTACAAGTGTTTGGAAGGACCCGGGTAAAGTTTGATGTCACATAAGGCTTGGATATGGCGTTTACTCTTCAAGAGTAAACTCATAGAGGAGTTTTTGGCCCCTTAACACCTCATCCATATGAGTTTACGGCCGTGAACTCATAGATGGTGCTTTTGGGTGCAAAATGGCTTCACAACATTTGGGATTAATGCTAGGCTTGGGTTTTAGGCTTTGGAAGGAATTAACACTCACTTAGGGACCATTTATTGGAGTTTACGGCAGTAAACTTGGAGCTTACGGCCATAAACTCCCCCACACGTAGAATCCTTAATGTTTTGGTCCTTAAACAATCACATGTGATTCCAATGATTTTTCCCAAGGCTTGTATGGATTTTTAGGGGACTTTTGGCATGGATTTAGGAGTTTACGACCCATGAAGCCCCTCATGGCTGTTAACTCCTTAGATGGGGGATTTAATATGTTTTAAGGTCCAAATCTTGGTTTTAGTCACTTCTAGAATTTATCCAAAGGCTTATGGTGTGTGTAAATGGCATTTTAACACATTAGAAGGAGTTTACTCCCCAAGATAATGAGTTTATGGCCCAAGCATGTTCTTGGGCAGTAAACTCAAGTTTACTCCTCTAAATTAATGTTCAAGGTGTTCCAAGGTTAAATCCAATATTCTAAAATTCATATCTAAGCTTCAATGGATTTTTGGAAGGGTGTAAGGGCATAAAAACCCCATTTATGTAAGTTTACGGCCCAAGCATGCTCTTGGGCAGTAAACTCATGTTTACTCTTCAAAATCCATGTTTAAGGCATTCTAAGTCCAGTCCATTAAGCCATTAAGCCATATCTAATCTCCAAAGGTCGATTGAAAGGGTTTTTGGGATCCAAAACCCATTTTATGTGAGTTCACGGCCTAGGACTGTTCTAGGGCCGTAAACTCATGAATATGGTCCTATTCCATGATTTGAACTTGAATTTGAAGGCCTAAGATGTTATACTAGGAGTTAGGGTAGTTACCTTGGTGATTTGGAGCTTCAATTTGATGATTTTGGATCCTTAAACTTGGTTTGAGGAGAGAGGTTAGAGAGAGAGTAGAGAAATGAAGAAAGCTTCAAATGAAAGCTTGGACATGTTTAACTAGGTCTCAAAACTCGGACACGGTGGAATTCTACCCGATACCGACATTAAACGGGGCTTTTGGTCGCACCCGATTAAGTTTCTGTAACCCGGTGAGGATGTTTCTAAACTTTTTGAAATAAACATTTTGGGATAATTTGATGTGTTCCTAAGGGGTTTGGACACTCATTAGATTATAATAAACATATAAGTTTAAATAATTTAACCCAAAACGAAAACGAAACGAATTGATAAATGGCGAATTTTTACGGGTAGAACGGGTTCTCGACGATGGAAAACTTCGGGTTGTTACATTATCCCCCCGTTAGAGGGAATTTCGTCCTGAAATTCAAAGATTAAGATATAGATCATGAATTGGAATGAGATACGTATGGATTTGTTGCCTCGGATCTTCACGCTCTCAAGTGGAATCGGGTCTCCACCTGGCGTTCCAGTGAACCCTCACTATCGGGACGTGTCATTGTTTCGTACATTGACTCTCTCAATCCATAATCTCAATTGGTTATCCCATGGAGGTTCCACCCTTGATGACTTCGATCTTCTCAAAGGAATCACTAGGGTTGCGTTGGGTAGATACTTCAAAGGATTCGAGACGTGAAGTACCGGATGGATGTTACTAAGCTCTGAGGGTAGCCAAAGTTGGAAGGTTACGAAATCGATTCTATGAGGATCACGGAGGGTCTAAGGTATCACAAGAGAAGTATCTTACACTTCTCAAAGCATGTCATGCTTTTCTGGGATAAAGCCTTCAACAGGACACACGTTCCAACAGGAAAGCACATCTTCATTGAGTCGAGTAGCTAAGGGTCTGATGGCTTTTAGAAGAAATTTATGGGTAGGTCTGCGATAATAGTCGATGAGACCAAAGAATCGACAGCTTTCTATGGGTATTTCCAGTGCCGACTAATTCCTTATCGCTTTAGCTTTTGGAAAGGTTCACGAGTACGATTGCTTTGCTTAGCTACATGATCGAGGAAAATGATTTGACCGAAGGATACCACTACTAACTCGTAGTGATCATATCAATCCTTGGTCACCATCTTGGACACGTCATTCTTACTGAAGTTCAGTTACGAGGTGGTTCTAGAGATTAGGTCGGTGCGAGTCTAGACTAGACGTTCGGAAAGAATTCTCGGGAATCCTTCGGGAAAGAAACTTAGAGAAAAGAGTTGTATACTTCTCGTTTCCGATGATCACAGGCATGAGGGATACGCGACAA